ATTTTTATTGCATTTCTGTTTTGCTCCCCCATTGCCATTTGCCTTAGTCACAATTTCTGCAATTATGACAAATTTATGAGTTCGTTTCTCCCACACGCACACACTCGAAGTGCCACCCATACAGATACAGCCACGCACGAGTGCTCGATTGTGTGCATGTCTGGGCACTCCTGCAACTGACTTTCCGACTTTCTGACTTTTGACGGATTGCGGCAGCCATTTCCTTGGCTTGTTGAATGCAAAAGACGTGAGACATTTGTCAGCTTTAGCGATAAGTTTAAATGGCGGTTTTGTTTAAAAATACCTCGCCAATTTTACAGCAATGTTTTTCGATAAACTCAATGCACATTCCTATTACCTTTGTCATTTGTTAGTTTTAGTAAACCTTTTCGTGTCCAAATTAGAGATTACAGCTGTTCGAATCCTAGTTTATTTTTATTATTTTACTTTATCATCTAATATTCAGACACAAGTCGTGATTCATCGTTAACTGTTTTATATGAATGCTGATAAGATTGACCATTATTTTGAAGCATTTTTAGCTTGTAACCCTTTTTGTTTTTCCCCTGCCTTTCCAGTGATTGCAGTTTCTTGGGGTTCTGGGTGTAGGCTGCCCCGGCTGTCAGTCAGTTGCTCTGTCATTTATTCTGCTTAAGGTGTAATTACATTTGTGCCCAGCTGTTTCGCTTCTCAGTCATTACTCATACGCCCCGTGCCCGTCGCCGGGTTGCCTAATCTACCAACGCAGCCAAGATGTCGACACTTTGGCCAAGTCATTTGCAATTGTTAATGCCCCACAAATTGCACATCGAGGGGGTGGAGGGTTGCAAAACGAAGGGGAGCCAAATGGCTTTTAGCAGCACAATTAATAATTAACTTTTAATAATAACTCAATAAAGGCGAGCGGCAAAAGCGAACGAAAGGCGAGTGCCAAAGCGAAGAAAAATGACTTATAGATAAATTTAAATCGCTTCCTAATCAGAATTCAAGGTTAACAGCCATATGAGTGAAATTAATACACACGACTGCGATGCTGACGTCGATGCTGGTCTATGTGCAAAGTGCCGAAGGCAGCAATTGCCGCTTGTTTTCTGAGGCTGCGGCCGAGGTGCTGGGGCACTGAGGTACTGAGGTGCTCGAGTGTGTGGTGAGTGAATGTTGACTCAAGGTTGCAGAGCTGCAGAGCCCCTCAAAGACACTCGCCGTACGAATTTTAATTAAATTCTGCCATATTTCTGCGCTGCTCTGCTCTGGTTTTCGGTTTAAAAATAATTTGCAGAAAGTTAAGCGAAAACACGCGAAGGAAATAAGGCAAAGCCAAGGGCGCAGGTGAGGCCAAAAATTTAAATCATCAATATAAATTTAATTCAATTTAAAAACAAAAGGGCAACTGTTTAAAAATAAATCGGAATGCAATTGTTGTACTGCTGCACTTATAAAAAAGTATTGTAAAAAAAAAATGTATTTATTCCAAGACCAAGACAGTTTTCCATTTTCAACCACGATTGTTCACAAATAAAGACATTGCTGACCCAAGATTTTAGGCCCAATTGCGTTAATAATAAATCTATAAACATTTTCTAAAATAAAATTTTCTTTTCAAAATGGAATGCAGACAGTTCAACTACACTGATCAAATTATAAATGCATATTCAATGGGATCGATAATGTGTTTACTTCGACTATACCAATAATAATTTATATATTTTTTGCCGTTTAACTTCCACATCACATTATTTAAATAATGAAATGGTCGACATAAACTAAAGGGCTCAGTTTTAAGCTTCAATTACAGAAGGAACAAAAATATATATATATTTTTATAAATACAATTTGCTGTCCAAATGGAAAGTGGACAGTTCAACTACACTGGTAAAATTATAATTAAATATTACATTTATTTGGGCTTTACCTATAATAATTTAAATATATTTTGCTGTTTAGCTTCCAATTCCAATTACTTATTTTTAAGAAATAGTTTTGCTCTTTTGAAAACATGATCTGCAGACAAAAGTGAGCCGATATGCCCAATTAAAGGCGTACATTTTTTATTAGTGTATTGGCTTCTCTGCTGTCAGCTGCAAAATGCGCGCACATTTGTCAAAAAAGGCCAAAGCAGCTAAGCCAAGGCTCACACAGACACGTGTGCCGCGCCATGTTGGCTGGCCGCGAATGCAGCTCCGCCGCCCTTTCCCTTTTCCGCCCGCCATTGTTGTTTGTGTTCCAACTGTCAGGCATTGCGAAAGCTTAATGCCAGCTAACCGCAACGCCGCTCATCCGCCCCCTCACCCCCCTTCAACACCCTCCTTTTACCACCCTGAGCAGTGCACCGCCCCTCCTCCACCAACCCGCAATAACCCGCCGCGCTGTCTGCTCTGTGCACTATAATTTGCCTGTTTGCTTTGGCTTTGCCGTTTTTGTTGCCTTTTGATATTATAAAACAAATTAGACGGAACAAAAAAAAACTATGCTATACTGTGAGTTGGAATTTGAAAAGCGTATACTAGAGAACATGGCGTGTGCAATTAGCCGCATCTACATGGTGAATGGTGATGCGGCCCTCAAAGGGTTGGCCCAATTAAGGCGAAAATTCAGGGGAAATTCAATGAGAAGCTGCTGCTCGATCCAAAAGTCGAGTCACTTTTCCAACGTTTTGGTTTCGTCACCGCAAATTGTTGGCTCTGATTGCTTGTCACATTGCAGTCGTGGCTGTTTGCGTTTTAATTTCCCCTCCAGGATTGAGTTGTGGCCTTCCCACTCAAGCTTTCCTTTGGCGGCCATCGCGAACTCCCTGTGAGTGTGTGTTGTGGGTTAAGAAATTAATGGGCGAGCGTTTAACCACACATTGCGGTGGGCGAGGGGGGAGGCGGTTGCCTTGGAGCTGTACGACTATGCCTTAATGGAAGTGCAATTGCAAGGGCCTTGATTAAAAGGCAGGCGGCCCTGATTGTCACGGGTGGCGGTAAATGGCAAATGGTGAATGCACATAAATCTGCATTTTAAGTAATAACCCGCACGATGGTGGTGACGATCCAGCGAGACAAAGGCCACCGCGAATGAATCGGCTTTTAGTGTGTTTCACTACACTTTACTTGGTTATGGTATACCGCTCCATTTGAATCGCCTGACGGGCTGACGAGCAATGAAGGTTAATCATCGTCGATGCATCTGGTAACAGCCGCACGCGCCACAGTGCGTATGAGTAATGTCAGCTGGATGACATTACGTATGCGCCACGTGGACGCCTTCAAGATCGCCACTCCACTCGATTCGATTCGGGGCGAGTGCATTCTGATGCGGCACATCACACAGCTGACAACTGACAATAATTGCGCACAATTAGACATTAATTGCATTCGTTCGTTCTCAGCACGGCGATCGTACATTTATCCATCTATAGCTAGCCATCCAACCATCCAGCTGGCTTGTGTTTTTGCTGGCCAGCGAGATTCGAGATGCAAGATGCGGAAACGCGGCATATATCTTTTCAATTAAGCAGCCACGCCTTGGCAAAATAAACTTTTCCATTGTGTTCGTTTGTGCATTTGTTTGTTTTCCCTGCTCAGCCCAAAAACAGTGGGCGTGGCCGGCCGACTCTGACATAAATTCAAATGCGCACTCCCAGCCACAGACTGCCTTTTTTTATTTTTGGGACTAACACCGACGAGCGGAGCAGGAAGTTTGACGCTTTGGTCACTTTTTTCGTCTCGGTTGTGCAACAGGTATGGAAAGTGAAAGTGCAATTGCTGCTGGCAGCGAAGACTCGAAAACGTTTGACTAATTGAAATGAATGGAAAATTGATTGGACTTGGGCGAGAAGTCAAGTTGTTATGAAGACTTCCCAAGCTCATTTATCAATAGTTTCAATCCCAGCGATGACTCATTGTGGATAGACTATTGTTCATTAGGTATTCTAAACATACTCTATATGATGGCAAAAGTTTTCATTAATTTATATTAATTTAAAAGATTTTTAAGGCAAATGAAATTGTTAAAATGCAAATGAAATTGTTAAAAGGCAAATATAGAATATGTAATATAGAATAATTTTATTAAAGCGAATTTCGCAAGCCCAAGTAAACGATAAATTCTATTTTTTCATTGCTGAGCTTTTCTCGCAGTGCACTTTGGGCTTGACGGTGTGTAAATAAAACATATAACCACCATATGAAAATCTAATCAGACTTTCAAGGTTAACATATTCTGCCGCGGCTGCTGTTCACTTCGATATTTGTTCTTTCTGCTGCCCATTGTCGCTGTTGTTGTTCTTGTTGTCATTGCCGGCTGCTCGTTTTTAGGTTTTTGTCTGTTTGCTGTTAAGAGCCCTTAAAAGCTCTAAACGAAATAGCCAAACACACGAGCGGGCGCAAAAGCGTAACTAGTTGGGCAAACAAACGGCAGACTGTCCGCTGGTTATGGCTAAAAGTTAGAAGGGGGCGGGTGTTTCTGTTGGTTTTCAGTTGCGTAAGTTTCTGTTTCGGTTCTCGATTTCAGGCAGGGGCCCTTAAAGCCCGAACATAATTAATTAAAGAGCCAACTGTCTAAAGCTCCGGAGCTGGGGGTTATTGATTTTACTGCTCCTCGGGCGAGTGTGTGTGCTTGCGCTCGCCAAGTTAACGAGCTGCTGACATTGCCCTTTTGTGTGATTGATGCGTTGGCATTCTCCTAGGCGAAAACGATTCCGACATTTATTTGATTTTTTATATTTCTTTCGCCTGCAGCACATTGCGTATGAGTAATGGACGCTGTGTGCGGCGGTGTGGCATCAAGCATACGCCGTGTGGCCGTGCCAAGAACCGACCGACATTTACATAATTATGGCAATTAAAATCTATACACAAAGTTGCAATTAAAATGCAACAAAATGTCATGCTTCACCGCCAACAGCCCAGATTCCTCTGACCGCATTCCCTGCGATACATATCTAGATAATAGATTCTAGATTCTAAATTCTAAATTCTAAGTTCTAGATTCTAGGGCACGTGGATCGAATCGCTCACCTTTTTCTTGCGCTCCTCCTTGAAGTCGATGACAATGCCCTCGTCCGACGTGGACACGGATGTTGTGCGTATGCGTGCGTTGGCCGCATCGTGTGGCGACATTATGATGTGTGGGCTGTGGTGGGCGTGGCCGTCGTCGCTCAGGGGCGGTGAGGCGGAACCGGAGCTCCAGGAGGCCGACGAGCTGCTGCCGGGACTCGAGCACTTGTCGGCCATGGCTAAGAAATTGGCAAAATTAATTGGGGTCGGTTACGGGGCGGGGAGGGGGACGAGGACGAGGGCGGAGGATGACCTACCGCCATGCGGGCTCTGCAGCTTCATCGATGACAGAATCTCAGCGGCACGGCATGTCTCCTCGTCCTTGTTCGGATCGCTGCTATAGTCCTGGTGATCGCTGGCCGGACGTTTCCGTGCACTGGAAATAAAGAAGAAAGAAAAGACAAATTGTAAATTCGAGTTTTCTTTTACTATAAATTAATGTATTTGAATTAAAATAATTGATGGGTTATTCTTGGAGCTAATGAATAAAATTAGTAAATTGCTATGTTTGCCGATATTAACAATAATTCTACACAAATTAAATTAAGACAGTTGTACCTTAACCCACTATTCAAAGTCATTTTTATGAAATATTTAACTCGGATTATGGACGGCCTAAATATTTACAATATATATACATATATACAGATTATAGGCCCACCTAATTCCAGTGGCAAATCAATTGCAACTCAAAGCATTGACCCAGTTGTGATTCTTGATTTTATCAGCCACCCCCACAAGCACTCATCTACATATAGAAACTAGAAAACTGGCCGATAAAGATATAGACACGCAGGCAATCGGCAGCCTTAGCTTAGACATCAAAGCGGCCGCATATTGTTGTAATTTGCACAACAACAACAACAACAATGCCACGAGGTCTTTTCAGCGATAATCGCTTCGAGCGGCATTTCAATGCAAAACATCGCAAAACTATTTTTCCATTTAACTAATTTCTGCGGCCACTGAATTCCACTGCCGCCCATTGTGTGTGTTATTGTTTCGTCATTAATTGGCCTCCTTCCGATGGCCTCACATATTTGAAGCGACGTCAAACGCTTCGCAGTGGTCGTGTAGATTTCCCAGATCTGCTGGACTGGCTGGCTTTCCATGCAACTTGGCTTTAAGCTAACCTTGGCGCAACCTTCGCTGGCCAAATCAGGCGAAAATCCTTATGAACTGTGTTTGTTCGCTCAAATTTATATTCTCAACAAAGGCAGCCGGCGACAATGGCGAATGCATCGAGGGATTGATGAGGGGGGGTTGACCATAAAGACGCGACACTGTCATAAATTCAAAACATTTGAAATGGGAAAACTGATTTGGCACACCCGCCATAATCAAGCTGAGTGCTCCCACTCCGGGCCAGCCGATTGAGCCAAATGCCAGCTATTGAGACGTCGTCAGGGCCACCACCACTTGTCCCAGGGATTGCGTCCAGCACTTGCTGCGTGCCAGGATTAAACTATGCCAGGAAAGCAGCACTCATCCCTGGCCAATAGGGAGCTTCATGGATGGATGGGTATGTTGCTGCTGCAAGCAATTATTGATGCTTAGAGTTTAAGCGGCTTATTTGCAACATCCCGGGCTGCAGGAACTCCCCTTTCTTATCTTTCGGCGACCATCTGCTTTGGGCCAAAACCGAAACCAAAACGCTTAACAGAAAACAGAAAACACAACTCGTGCTGCAAAGTCCATTGTGAAATGGGAAGAGCCGCGGGCTGTCGTGGGCCAAGACTGCACTTAGCCGAATGCAGCTCCTTGGCCAAACAGCGGGCCATAAAAGTTTATTAGTCGGCTACCAGGTTTTAGCCTTTTGTCTAATGCGCTAGCACCTTTTGCCGGGATTTCCGTCCCAATTAAATTTGTTAAACTGAACGATAAATTTCTGCCGCAGATCGTTGCTAATCGCATAAAAGTAAATTCGCGCATAAATCGACATTTCCCCAGCCGTGGAGAATCAGTGCTGTTTCTTGTTACCCATTTCCAAGCCGGCCGGCAAAAGGCGCGTGCCTGACGGAAAGGGGAGGTGGAAAGTATGGGGGGACGGGGAAGGGGTTTTTATCCATCACGATGTGGCCATTTAATGCGCACAATCCGTACCGTTAGGCCGTTTGCTTTCCGCCCCAATGCGCAGCGCTGGAAAAGCCAACTTTAATAAACTGCAAGCGGCAGTTGCAATGCTGCATTGTGATGTTGCATTGTGATGCTGCTTCTCTGAGGTCCAGCCAAGTTGCCTTTTCGGCCAACTCGCTGCGTGGCCGCACGTAAATTGCCCCAGAGCGCGTGATTGAAATGCGATATATTCGCGCCCGATTTCGGGGCCAGGCTTTTCGTACTTCTTTCCCAGGCTGGGAAATGCGGCAAACCGTTGCTGTTTCGCCACATTGGCCATTATTTGACCACGTTCGCCGGGCCGCGCAATCAACAACCGTCGCGGAGTCGCGTTGGAAAAGAGGTGTTGAAAGCAAAATTACATTGCAGTGTCAGGAAGTAGGAGATGCGAATATGATATGCCCCGAACTGAGGAGGACTTAGCCCCCGAGTCGCTTGTTGTTTGCATGTGGCGGCGAAATTAGTGGAAATTGCATGAAATTCGCTGGCTGCAGCTCCATTTCAACTTGATTTCTGTGCGGTTTGCAGTTTGCAGCTTGCAGTTTGCAGTTTGTAGCTTGTAGTTTGCAATTAAAGCTTATTGAATTAGCCACGTGCCCAAGATTCGCTTTTGTTTTCGGCCTGGGTCGGAAAACTTTCACCAAATTGCCCAGGGAAAGCGCAAGTGCGAGTTAGCCGGAGACAAGGCGACTCCGTCGTGGCCTGCAATCTGACAAGAAAAGGCCCCTTTAGATATCGCCAATCAAAATCTAAACAATTTTCAAGTGTAATTTATACGCAGGCAAAAATAAAAGCCCGCGAAAGAAAAAAGAACAAAAGGAACCAAAGTCGTTGGCTGATTTCTGTGATTAGAACGCAGAGGGCAACAACAAAAGTTTTTTTTTATATTTACCCCCAACTTCATTGAGGTTTTTGTGTGCCATGCGAAAGAGCTTTTAACTTATCAGTTTGCACGATAAGGGCCAAGATTCCATGGCACACATATCTACGCCTATTCAAGCCAATGTCAATAGCAACAACAAAAGCGGAAATGTTCGTTAGAAAAAGAAAAGTAAAGGCAATAGCAACAAAGCCAACTGAAGGTAAATACGTTTTGGACAAAAGGAAAACGTGTAATAACAAGTCTTTTGGCCCAAAAATGGATCGATGCTAACAGATGGGCGTTTTTATGACATCTAGACAGGAAGCGCTATCGTTTTGGGTTTCAACTAGTTTGCAACGGTGCGTATGCGCAACATATTCAAAATCTTTCCATTCACCAATCGCGAAAATAAAATCAAAACAAATGAGCACGCACTTTTATTATTCAATATTGTGACTACATTTTATGATTTGTTTTTTTTAAGTCTATATTATTTTGCCCATGACGTTGTCAGACGCAAAAATTTGTGTCTGTGTTTTTTTATTTTGGTTTTATTTTTGGACAGGCCGAAAAGCAGACAAGTGCCTGGGATTGTTGTTAGTTGTTGTTGTTCAAGGTGATGTTGTTTTTGTTAGTTTCGGTTTTTTGCCCAGTTTTTAGTTGTTTTGCATTGCGTGAGGTGAGTCAATTTGCCCCTCCGCCTTTTCTGGGAGTTTTTCTCACATGCCGCATTTTAAATTCGCCTTTTGTTGCTGCCTCTTTATTTGTTTATTTTATTTAAACAAGGCGACCTCTTTTTGTTGTTGTCCCTGTTAATTTGGAGGTTTCATTTTTGTAGCCCTGCCCGCCGTTGACACACATAATTTTTGTTTTTTTCATTTCAATCTTCTCCCGCCCGTTTCTTCTTTTTTTTTTGCGAAAACGAACAATAAAATTGAGTTAAGCAAACAAAAGCCCGACTTTTGGGGATGTGGCCTTAAAGCCAAGTAGCGCCAGTCGAGACGGAAATTTGTGGGGGTAAACAAATAGCGAAATTCCAACATTTTTGCAGGTGATATACGCGGCATTAAATCGAAAACAAGCGCTGTGCGTAACAGTAAAATGTGTGCGTATTTTTTTTTCTGTGGATGGGGGGAGGGTGTTATTTTTGGTGTGTTTTGGGCCTTTTCGTCTTGCCGGGTGCTTTATCACCCCATTTATGGACGTATGCGTGAGTTTTTTTTCCCCGCTGGCTAATGTTTACTTTCGGTTTATTTTGATTCGGGTCTCTGCTAATTTTTTTGCAGATAACGATGGCAAAACGTCAGAGTAGGCGTAGTAAATAGTTATGCTGGAATAGCTGTTTCTTCTTTTTTGTTATTTTTGTTTCCCCGGTGCGTGGTTGTTTATGGTTTGGTTGGGAAGCTATTATTTATCTTTTTTTTGGCTCGCGGGGCGGAGCACGTGCTCTCGTTGATTAGTTTGAATGGGTATGAATGACTCGTTTAATGGCTGGATTTTGTACAGTCTTAAGTCTAAGGATTGGTCTGGTTGTCGGCAACTCAATTAACATTTAAAGCCAACGGTATTATCATTTTATTTTACTGCCGCAACAGCAGAAAAAAACAAAACGAAGCCATCTGAACTATGGCAAAAATCTGAAAACGAAGCACTGGAAAATGGAGGGAAAAACATTTAACAGCTTTCCTTTCTTGTTCATTTTCGGCGGGACCCACATCGTTTACATAGCCGAATGGCGCTTTAAACATTTTTTGTCTATTTCGGTTTTTTTCGCCATCTCCCCTCGAAATGGCCTCCTGGTTTTCCGTTCACGTCCGAAAGGCTCCACGCCTTTTTAGAGGCTCATTTGCACAAATTACTAGCATTGCGACAACGGCCAAGGAGGCAACAATAACAACAACAATGCAATTGTCTGTGGCAACAAAACAAGCCAGAAGGAAAAGCCAAAGCCAAAGCCAAAGCCTAAGCCAAAAGGTAGAGGCGGAGAAAAGCCCAAGAAGACATTGTCACCACATTCCGGCAACGGAAGCCAGCCGGCGGCCGAAACAGATTGGCTATCGCCCCATGGGCCACGATCCCTTACCGCTTCACGTCCTCCTTAATGCCACCGGACTTTAAACTGAACACAAAAAAGAAAAATAAAAGAGGTCCCTATGATACTAAATATACAATCAAAATAGGCTCAACTTTTTGCTTCTTCGTAAGATTGATCACTATCAATTGGCGGAATATCAATAGCCTTAGGACCTTTAGTTTAAATACTATATTTATTTAGGATATATTTGTATTATTATTATATATAAAATGCTTCCTTTTTTAAATATTTTTTATTTTAATTTCTATTTCTATTTAATAATAATGGAATTGTATTTACTATGTTTGACTTATATGGCACTTTA